GTATCATAATAGTATAGAATTCAAATTCATCTTATTTGACATATTTTGGCAAATGATATACTTCTCAATATTGTCTCATTTTTTGTGAATACTTTAGAGTACGTACTTTCATGTAATCTGATGATTTCAAAAATAATTTAGCGTATCCACAGAAGTACATGAATTTGAAAAATCAAATTTTATTTAGAGATGAAATTTGTTCCCACCTCATGGGATATGGACCAATTTGTCCATAGAGAGAAAGAAAGTAATAAAGTAGTTTATACTATGATTAAAAAAATTATCAAGAATTTTAATGACACAGTTAGTTATTTCACAGAGATATTTATGAATTGTTGGTAGAAATACTTTATAATGATCATACAATCATGAAGTTTGACTATATGGTTGACTAAAATATTTTTATGTGTTGAATAAAGAAGGCGTTTTGCCAAATTAATTAAGAACAATTTTGCAATACTATTGATGTATTGGGCTCGATCGAGTATAAATGATTCTTATGAAAACGTCAAAACCAAAATGAAAGAAAATCTTAAATTTCACATAAATAACTTAAATAACTCATGCATCTTTCATATATATATATATATATATATATTAAGTCCTTATTTAGTTATTTAGTTTTTTTATTATTATTATTATGGACTCCTTTTTCATATATTTTTGTTAGGTTGTAATATGATATTTAAATCTTTTTATGTTACGACATTATTATATTATTTAAAAAAATATTTTATTTTGTTCCTACAATCACATATTTAATAAATATATTAATTTATCTTATTAAATTAATCGGCCAAAAATATTTACTAATCGCACGTGTACTTTATTATTTAGAAAAAAACAAGAGGGAGTATTAATTAAAAGATGAAAACTTTGATGATGTATTGAATGTGACAGTCAAAATCACAGACCGCCTCGAAAAACAAGTAAGAAGGTTTTATGTCCAAATTCCAAGCAAATAGAACGCATCCATTGGTCAGTCAATTTATTGTAATTATTTACCTTGGTAATTGCAAGTCATGATGATATTCGCCCCCACCCCCACCCAAACCCAACACTTTGTATCAGTCACTCCTATCTATCTCATCAACTCACATCCCAGTTTTCTTCTACAAGATAATAAGAAAGATAAATCTGTCGCCACTGTAAATATACATTTTGACTGGAAAAATGTGTACGAGCTCCGGCTGGCGGGTGGTGGGAACAAAGTTTCTCAAGATCATATTGAATCCCAAAGCAGACCGTATAGTAAGTAGTTCCATCACATTTGATATTTCTCTTTCTGTAAGTGTACAATTCTACATGTGTTTTGCCTAAAATTAGAGATGAGAAATTGTACTATCACGTTCGTATTTCGCTGTACTGTCTTCTACTTTATTAGATTATAAATATGATAATGTCTGAATTTAACTAATTTATTTTTGTTTCGTGATATCCATTTCGTGTTTTGATTTTTTTTCGTGTTGTGTCGTGTTGTACTTCACTGTCTTATTTTTGTGTTAGCTACTTAATTACATAGTAAATATGATAATTTAATAAAATTTAGTTATATTTGTTTGTTTCGTGCTATTCGTGTCGAGTTCATGTTTTACTATCTGCCTTTTTGTGTTATTTATATTTAGCTAAATCATTTATTTCGATTACATCGTGTCATGTGACTATATAATTGCGTTTGTATTTTGTGTCGTGTCAATCTTTGTCAGAGAATCCCGCCTATGTTTACAAAGAGATACGGTCACGATCTTCCGAGCCGTGTTTTCCTAAATGTTCCGAGGCGACCGACAATGGAGGCCGAGTTGACTCGGTGTGATGACGGTCAAACTTGGATACACAAAGGATGGCAGGAATTCAAGGACAGTCACTCGATCTGCTTCGGTTATCTCCTGTTGTTTGAATACGATGGGAAATCCGAGTTTAAAGTTCTCATTTTTGACACGAGTGCTGTAGAAATAATTTATCCGTTTTGCGATAATAATAATGTTGTTGCAAACTCAGACATTGATTGTGTCCTGCAGACATATTTTTCCACACCTCTCTTGGATTATTTTGGTCCAAATCATATTCCGGTGTCTTATGAATTTATAAGGGGACAAATTGATTTCGTGGATGAGCAGATTTTGTTTGCTCGGGCACAACTTGAGAAATTCAGCGCCATGCGTGCACAATTTGCTGCTCTCGTTTCTTCTCAAGCAAAGGCCACACAAGGTTCGAGTGGTGGCCATTGTGCTGATGTGGCGAATGCTGATCGTGTGCATGTTATTTCCGATGATGGTGATGAGGATGATGATGATAACAGTGATGCTGATGAGACTAAATACCCAATACACGATAAAAAAAGGAATGGCAAAGGCAAAAATCAAGAAATCGTGAAAACAAGGAAAGGCAAAGCTAAAAATCAAGAAAACATGCGTGGTATTTCCTCTCGTCTGAAAGAAGAAAGACCCAATTTCGATGGATCAAGTACTGGTTAGAATTTTTTTTTCTGTCATTTTAGTAGAAAAAACCCTTTGTTAAATATTGTTCTGTTAGTCATGTTTGTGGCGTTTTGTTCCCCTGTTTTAGAATATCTATGAAAATTCTGTTGCCTTCTAAATAAAAAGTGTCAAATGCCATTGAAAGTTTAGTGAACACTATTTTTTTTACGATTCTCTATCTTCGGCTAATGGATAAAATTGCTGCATTTGGTCAGGCGTAAAGGAAACGTGGTATGCGTATCAGAAAGCAGAGGATTACGTCTCCAGCCGCGCTAGAAAAAACCCGTTTTTCATTTCTTTCATGCGCAAATCCTATATCCGAAACAAATACAACTTGGTAACTAACTCATTAAAGATTTTCCCAGTCAGCATTGCTTTCTCCTACAACATTGTTCATTTCTTTTCTCCAAATGCAGAATGTATCATATCCTTTTGCTAGACAGAATTTGCCACATTTCGGCATTTTGTCAATAGTTTTGGTCACGAATGGGAAAGAATGGCTCGTGAGATGCCGCAATGAAAAATGCCGTGCAGAGTTTTTTAGAAATGGATGGAGGAAATTCGTGCAGGATAATGGGATTAAGCTTGGTGATGCTTGCGTATTTGAAGTGGCAGATAGAATAGATAGTAAGGGCAACGAGCTCGTGTGGGACGTTATGATTTTTCGCAACAGATAAGATAGTCGGTCGTGCCACTGCCAATCTTGCAATATGTTTATGCTGTCATCTGGTTGTCAATTGAAGCCACTTCTGATTTTAAATTATGTTTTTGTAACTTTGGGGATATTTAAGGTTTCAGTAGTGTGGCTACCAATCTTTTTGACCTAAACTTGTTTCGGTTAGCCGTGTGTAATGTAAGCTGTTTGGTTTTTGCTGGATGTCATCTAAACTGTATGCTAGTGTATCCTGATTTAGATTGTATCGGTATTTTCGGCATTTTGATTTCTAGAACTAGATGTGGCCAAAACTCATTTTCGGGCCAGTTCAAGTTCGTCATTTTGGTCGATCGGAATTGGCTCGAGAAAGAAGGGTGTAATTGGATATGAATTTGATTAGTTTTTGTTTGGTTTTTATCATAGTTAATTGGAATTGGCCTGAGAAGATTATGGAACTGGCTCGAGAAAGACTAATAGTCGGTTCAATGAACTAACCAAATCGCTTCAACAACCGGTCCGGTGATTTAGGGTATGTTTGGGANTTTTTTTTTTTTTTTTTTTTTTTTCTTAATAAAAAAAAAATAATAATAAAACTAAATAAATAAATAAAACCAATTTTTAAACCGGTTGGGTAAAACCATGAACCTGTTCAAGGTTTGCGGTCAATGATTTTGACTTGGTTGATTGGAACTAGGGGTGTTCACGGTCCGGTATTAGCCTAAACCATGACCAAACCGGATCTAAGGGTTAATTTTTTATCTTGTCCATAACCGGATCAGTTTTATTTTTTAGCGGACCATAATTCGGACCGCATTGGACGGTCCGGTTAACCGGTTAAATCCAAAATCCTTGTTTTGAGCCTTTAATTTTTTTTTTTCATTTTGGGTTTAATTTTTATTTTTCAATTTTGAGCCCAAAAGAGATTAGTTGAGCCTAAAAATTAAGAAAAACAACAATAATGAAATAAAAAATACACAATTCGTCCCATAAGCATAAAAATACACATTTCGTCCCATAAATATAAAATACAAAAATGATAAAGATTAAATTATGCAAATTGAACCCAAGCAAGCATTCATTTTTCAATAAGTTTATACACCTGAAATAATAAGAGCAAAGCATTCATAGTGAATGTATTGTATTTGTCGGTTATAGTGAATGATTGAATATATATATATATATATATATATATTTGTTATAGTTTTTTAATATTTACCGGTCCGGTCCGGTTAAACCGGCGGTTTGCCACAGGTAATCCATTAACCGGACCGGTTATTCCGGATTTTTAAAAAAAATAACCACCAGATTTTTTAAGGCTTTTTTAATTGACCATTTAACCGATTCGCGGTTCGGATTGACCTTTTTTTTTTCAGTTAAAACCGGACCGTGAACACCTCCTAATTGGAGCCTTGGCCATCTAGAAGTGGTCGACAACCTACGAATGCAAATGATTAATAAATGCAATTATAAAGATAATGAGACAATAACATTGTAACAAAATCATGAAATAATACAATGAGTATGAACTAAGGATTAAAATAATAGCAAACACAATTATAAAGATAAATGAGACAATGACAGCGTACAAAAATTATTGAATAATACATTGAGTATGAGAGGTAACATGTAAACACCAAATTGAAGCACGGACACGGTAATAATTTAAATACAAACAGAATACGATAATTTATATGAAAGAAGATAATTTGTTGCACTTTGCTATATTGTTTTGTTTAATGCAAATGAAGAAATATGACATTGTCTCATCATCATCTTGCCTCTACACAAGAAATAAAAGTGGTGCCATGTTTAGGGTTGTTCATCGGCTGATTTGGTTAAACCGATGGAACAACATGTCAAAACTGAAATAAGCAAGTCGAACTTTTGCAACTAGTCCGTTGAGGCGTTCCATAAGAAAATTTTATCGATGAAATGCTTATCCTGTAAACTTTACAGAGTATGCTATTCCAAGCCCCTACCATATGGTAAGAAAAAAATATTCAGAAGAATGAAGGCAAAGATGGGATGTAGAGGTATCTGTTTCAATTCTTTCGAAGTTCTGCAAACCGAGTCACTTGGGAGGAAGATAAGAAAACATATTAGTAATTTTATAATTTATGCAATTTTCATTTAATTTTAATAAGCTTTCTTTGGTCAAAAGGTCACACATTATTAAGTTTATAGATCAGATGGATTAATTTCCTCCCACGTGCTACACGGTATCGTTAGGCATGACCACAAGCCGAATCAGCCGGGAACGAAACTGCCTGTAGTCAGTGCGCCTTGAACGAGCCTATGGTTTGATCGGACTGGTTCCGGGCTAGATATATGTACTTTTTGACCGTCATGCTTCGAAATCGGAATTGGCGGTTCGAACTTTTTTTTTTGTTTTTTCTTTTTGATTTTTTTACTATTTGTTGATTTTGTTAATTTTTTATTTTTTTTTTCAATGAACCGGGCCCAATTTGAAACTGACAATTTTCCAAATCAGCCTGTTCATATGTTCGGACCGATTTAAAACCGTCCAACCGTAGGCCCGGAACCGGGGATTCCTACCGCAAACGGGCCCGAAACCGGTTTTGGCCAATTGGTTTGTTTTAGACTTTTAGTGCAATTCAAGTTGAAGTTTGTCATTTGTTTCAAAAACGAACCTTTTATCATTACGACTTCAAATATCACAGTGGTTTGTCAGTTGTCACCATTTCCCAACCGCCTTCCCAAGAATGGCCAGGAAACCAGAACAAAAACTCCGGCGCCGGCGCAATACTTTCTTCAAGATTCTGTTCGGCGACGATTTCACCCGACGACTCGTAAGTCCTCACTAACTCCTCTCTGTCTCTTACTCACCTCACACATGCGAATTTCAGTATATGTTTTCTTCATCATCCAGAGATTCTAATTCTTTACTTTTGACACCCTGTGCTTAGAGAATCCCACCAGAATTCGCGCGAAATCGAGCTGGGTCTCTGATTGGGAAGGTCAAGCTCAAAATATACGGCGGGCCCAGTTGGGCCGTGAGTGTGGAGAAAATGGAGGACGGTAGTATTTGGTTTTGCAAGGGCTGGGCTGAATTTATTGACGATATGAAGCTGAAATTGTTCGATTTCCTTATTTTCATATGGTGTGCCGAGAAATCAACCTTCGAAGTGTGCGGCTATGGAAAAAACGCCTGCGCGAAGGGAACCTTTCGCCGTGCCTGCGGCAACGGCGATGAAGGCTCTGCAGGACTTGAAAATGGTGCCGGTGATTTTTTTCCCTCATTTTTTTTGGACGATCGAGTTTTTCCTTTGTAGCATTTCTTCAACTTTTTTTTTTCCTGCTATTTTCCAATTTTTTCCCAATTCTCTGCAGATCTGAAGAAAGAGGCCTCATATAGTGATGGTGAGGATGAGGCCAAATCTGGCGGCTCTAATCCATTCTTTAAGATAATCATGAAACCCTGTCATCTATATAGACTGGTAAACACCGATTAATAACCACAATAATTATTTGACAATCCTTTCCTTGGCATGCATAATATTGACAATCATCATTCCTTTGTATCTATTTGATTTGGTTTATATGTTTTTGTTTGATAAATCAGTACGTCCCCAAGGATTTTCTGTTGGCCGCTGGTTTAGTGGGCAAGGAGGGAGTGTGTTTGGACTATAAAGGGGGTCATCCTGTTTGTGTTGAGCTGATTCCAAGGCGCACCGGGTGCGTGGAAATGGTCAGCGGCTGGTCAAAGTTCCGGATATCTAACAAACTCGTCCTCGGGAAATCCTACATGTTTGAGTTCATTCCGAGTAAGATGATTATTCAGGTTCATGGGGAAAACGGATCTCCCGAGGATAATAATAACAGTGATGCTGATGAGACCAAATACCCAATACACGATAAAAAAAGGAATGGCAAAGGCAAAAAAGATCAAGAAATCGTGAAGAAAAGGAACGGCAAAGCTAAAAATCAAGAAAACATGCGCGGTATTTCCTCTCGTCTGAAAGAAGAAAGACCCAACTTCGATGGATCATGTTCTGGTTAGAATTTTTTATTTTTCTTTCCTTTCATTTTAGTAGAAAGGCCCTTTGTTCAATTGTTATGTTTGTCATGTTTGTGGCGTTTTGTTCTCCTGTTTTAGCATATCTATTAAAATTCTGTTGCATTCTGAATAAAAAAAGTATCAAATGCCATTGAAAGTTTAGTAAACACTATTTTTTACTACTCTCTATCTTCGGCTAATGGATAAAATTGTTGCATGTGATCAGACGTAAAGGAAACGTGGGATGCATATCAGAAAGCAGAGGCTTTCGTCTCGAGCCGCACTCCAAGAAAACCATGTTTCATTTCTTTCATGCACAAAACCTATGTCCGAGACAAACACAGCTTGGTAACTAACTCATTAAAGATTTTACAAGCTGCAAGCATTGGCTTTCTTCCCTACAACATATTGTTCATTTCTTTTCTCAAAATGCAGAATGTACCGTTTCCATTTGGTAGACGGAATTTGCCACATTTGGGCATTTTGTCGATAGTTTTGGTCACGGATGGGAAAGAATGGTTCGTGAAATGCCTCAAGAGAGAACGCTGCGCGAAGTTGTTGACAGCCGGATGGAGGAAATTTGTGCAGGATAATGAGATTAAGCTTGGTGATGCTTGCGTATTTGAAGTGGCGGATAGAATCGATAGTAAGGGCAATGAGCTGGTGTGGGATGTCTTTATTTTTCGCAACTGATAGGGCAGTTGGCTGTGTCCCTGCCTAGTTTCAGCTGTCATCTTGTTGTGAATTGAAGCCACTTTCTGATTTTGCATTATGTTTTTGTGACTTTGGGGATATGTAAGGTTTTAGTGGTGTGGCTACCAATCATTTTGACCTAATGAACTTGTTTTAGTGCATTTGGGGCTTTGGTTTTTGCTAAATGCCATCTAAAGTGTATGTTAGTGTTACCCTGATGTGTATTGGTATTGGTATTTTTGAATGGACATGAAATGAAACACGTCCCAAAACGATTAATAAATACAATTATAAAGGTAGATGAGACAATGACAATGTACAAAATTTTATGAAATCATTCAATTGAGTATGAACTCGTGATTAAGATAATAGCAAACACAATTATAACGATAAATGAGACAATGTACAAAAAATATGATATGATACAACGAGTATCAACTCATGATTAAAATAATAGGTAACACGTAAACATAATTTGATGCACGAACACGATATGATAGCCTGATTTATGTCGCTATGTTAATCGATCGTACAAGCTTAAACCTCATCAATGAATATAAATTGCAAGTATTGGACACATTTGCGAAAGTCTTACATAGTGAAATATTGCATTTTCGGGGCTTAATTTTTATGAAGATAATTTGTTGCACTTCGCTGCATTGCTTTGCTTAATGTAAACGAAGAAATATGAAATTGTCTCGTTTCATATTATTATTATTATTATTATTATTATTATTATTATTATTATTATTATTATTATTATTATTATTATTATTATTATCTTGCCTCTACATAAGAAATAAAAATGGTGTCATGTTTAAGGATGTTCATCCGTCGGTTCGGGTAAACCGAGCAGTTAAAATGTCAAAACTGAAATAACTAAGTCGAACTTTTGTCCCAAACCGAATTAAAACCAACCGAAATACTTGATTTATTCGGTCGATTAATCGAATTAACTAAAAATAAAATAATATTTAGAATAAAAAATATATTTAATATTTTATATTATTATTTGTTAAAAATAAATAATATACATATAAATAATATATTTATATAGTTTAATTCGTTCGACTATTTCGGTTATCTTAAAAATAAAATCGAAATCTAATCGAAATAAATAAAATTTTAAAAGTAAAAATCAATAACCAAACTAATATAATGGTTCCGTTACATGTAATTAGTATAAGATATATGATCTAACGGTTAAAACACCCGACAGGATAGTTCCGTGACGTGACTATATCATTTTCCTAAATCAAACAAAAAAAATTTAGGGTAAAAAACTTTTTCCCATCCGAACTATGACGATTTTGGCGTATCACCATATAAACTTTTTTTTTTAATAAACCACCACCTGAGCAATACGGGTTTTTCAAATTGCCCTATAAACTGGATAAAAAAGTAGTTTTGACTAAAAAAAGCTAATTCATGCGGGCATTTCGAAAATTTCATATATTTTTCAAAGAAAAAAAAAAAGAAAAATGCAAAGAATAAAGAAAGAAAACAGCAGTAGCGACGGGCTCCTATCTGGAGGCTGCACAGCGGAGGGACTCGAGCGTGTTGTCGTCTCCGGCGGGGATGAACATGCTGTAGCCGTTGACGGTGTGGTTCTTGAGGCACTCTCGGTAGCGAGTTTCCTCGGTGGCGGCGGTGGCTCTAACGGGCAGGGCGTCTTGAGTTGTAGTTGATAAACACACACTCTAAATATGAGAAGTAATTTGATATAAACCGCCAAAATCGAAAAATGAGGGCCTAAATATGACGATTTTGGCGGATCACCATATATATGAGAAGTAATTTGATAAACACACACTCTAAATATGTACTTGTTTGTGGTTGAGAAAAAAAAAATATAATATTTATATTTATTGAGAGAAAATGAGGGCCTATATTTTTGCTTTTTTTCTTTAAAAAAAAGTTTACCGGTTCAATATCTATAGCTTTCATGACTTAAAGGAAACTATGCAATCTTAGTTGTACCGTAATTTGGAACGTATGTATTTTTTGCTCTTATATTAAACGTATGACATTATTGAAAGTAATATTGCCCCCTCAATTTTTCTAGATCCACCCCTGGCAAGAATGAAATAAAATGTAGAACAAATTAGTGAAACAAAATGTATAACAAATTGTTTTTTTCCAAAATAACTTATGATGTCCTAATATAAAAAGAATTAAATAACATATTACAACCCCAATAAAAACACTAAATAACTAAATAATGACTAACATATACTATACATGCATTAGTTCTTTTATTTGTTTATGTTAGATAATTCAATAGCGATCTCTTTCATTTTAGTTTTGACATCCTCATAAGAAGCATTGTTGATTCAATAGTATTTCAAAATTCATCTTATTTTATTTGGCAAAACGTCTACTTTATTCAAATACTTAAAAAATATTCTAGCCAAACATAGAGTGAAACTTCATGGTTGTATTATCTTTATATCTACCAACAATGCATGAATATCTCTGCAAAATAACCAATCATGTCATTAAAATTATTGTTTATTTTTTATCATTGTATAAGCTACTATATTACTCTATCTCTATATATAGATAAATTGATACCTACCCATGGATGTATCGTCCTACGGAGGGGAATGATTTTCATCTCTAACTAAACGTTGCCTTTTCAAAATCTTTATTATATGTATTTTCCCGAGATTATTTTTTGAAATCATCACATGTTACCTAAAAGTACATACTCTAAAATAATTGCACATATGTTCAAGCACAATACACCAATAAAATTATAAATATTCCTATAAGAAGTGTCAACTTCATTCAAACATTAAAAAATATTCTGATCATGCTCCAACGTTTCATTTTCAATGTCATTTATTTAGGAGATAGAAGAACTATATAATCTATTGTTTGCAAATCATTGATCATTTAGTTCTTGCAATGATTTTAGAATTATTTATCTTAATGTCTTTCACTTCGTTTGGATTTGTAACATTTATGTGTCCAATAACTTTTTTAATGCTTTTATCGTCCAACTTCATGCATCATACATAATGCTCAGAAAACTCAAAATAAAGATCATTTTTTTATTATTCACCAATGACAAAACCAAACAAAACAAAACAATGAGACAACATTGAGAAACATATCATTTGTTAGAATATTTGAGAGGAGAAGAATTGGAATTCTATTTTATGACTCTTAATCATCTTTGAACTTTATTATTATGTAATCATTATTAAAATCTACATTATGTATTATAAAGTTTTAAATTTTTAATTATTTAAAATTAAAAATTGATAATATAGGATCATTATTTATGAGATCCAATTTCTTACAGAGTCCATATATTTAAACGCTAGCAACAAAAAAAAGTATTATTTTTAAAATATATTTTGTTTCTAAATATTGGTATTCATACTTGTCTAAGAAAATTCAGACGTTTTCTTTTTTCAATTGCATTACTATTATTTTATTAGTTTTTTATTCTACTGATAAATAATACTTTATTTATTAAAAAAATTATAGAACATTTATATGTTTTGCATCATTTTTTGTACGTGTTTCATATAATGACGTTGTTATCAAAATATCTTATTTATTAGGCAACAACTAATATAATCACATAAGATAAAATAAAATTTAATATTACTTAGTTATTTATTTATTTATAATAATATATTGATAAAAAATGTACTTTTATACGGATTATTAGATTAAAAGATTTAGAATTGTTTTTCAATGTTTGAGAAAATATTAAGAAACTAACTCATTTTCATACTCATTGAATTTATGTGTTAGTTGAATAATAATTTAACATACAACTCGTTTGTTTTGTCTTTTTAATGCACATGGTTAATATTGGTGATAGTTGTATGTTTAAATCCATTGTTTGTTTTTTCTTAGTATGAATTTTCGGATCTATGTAAGAAAAATATGCCACAAATTTATATTATGTTATTTAATACTTAATGAATTTATTTAACATGGAAGTATAATTTATTTTATAAGATACTTTTAGGTCTATTTATTATTTTAAATTCGTTGATAATTGATATACATCACTAGAAAGAAATGGTATGATATATTACATATAAAAGGGTAACAAATGAAAAAATAATAAGTATTTTAAAATTGAAAAATTAATGGTAGAAAGTAATTAAATTTTTAATTAAAAGAATTTAAAACTAACATAGTGAATTTTAATGCATAAAGAAAATATTTTTTATGAACTTAAAAGTTCAAGTTAAAATAAATGTGCATATTAAGTAAGTATGTTTGATATTTCTCATTACCTAACCCCAATTGATATAGGACATTAGTTAATAATTTTATCACCTTTTTTTTTTTTACTTTTAGATTTAATGCGAACTATAAGTTTTCTCATCATTCTTATCCCTTGTTTAGCTATTATAATACTAATAAAATAGTTAGGACTTTTTGACCTAGATGTATCTTGTTTGGTTTGAAATAGTTTACTAATTACTATAAATTAAATGATAATTAGATTGAATGTGTTATATTTTCTATCATTATCAACAATTTTCATAATAATTAGTTGCGCACAATATTATATACAATGCAAATTTTTTTATTGATTTGGAGCCTTACCTTTATTACAAAAAAATGAGAAAATTCCGACAAATTTTAAAATATATATATATATAAATATATATATATATATATTGCAGAGGAATTCATCGAAAATTCTAACGAATATTTCAATGTTATTACTCTCGTTTGAATTTTTCAATATAATTCTAGAAGAAAATATTTTATTGGAATCATGAGCAGATCTATGTTTATTTATAGGTCCGGCACAGCCCTCCATCCCAAAGCATATAGCGTAAGGAATCTATACTTATATTAAAGGGGTACTATTTACCAAATTAAGTAGCCTGAAAAGTCGACAGCATTTATTGCATTACTATTTTCGTATTATATTATATAAAAGGATATTCTATTTACTACATTTATTATCCAGAAAAGTCAACTGCATTAAATGTCATTACTATTTTGGTATTATAATATTTTATTTATTTAATTAATTTATTTATTTGTTTTATTTTAAAAAGGTAAGTATAATAAAAAGATTTTAATAATAAAAAATTAAATACCAAATAAAAATGTACACTTTGACTTATTTGATTATATTTGGTATTTGATTATACCAAATATATTCCTATTTAGTATATACATTAAATACTTACTAAAGTATTTATTTGTTTTATTTGTCAAAGTTAAGTATAGATTTGTTTATATTATCAAATCATAAAAAATATTAAATCCATATTGTAAAAAAAAA